TTGGACATGTTGGGGGGGGGGGGTACCCCTCGGTCTCATTTCTTGCTGGGTATAAATGGTCAATATGTTTTTGTCTTCTGCGATAGACGTCCAGGAGTGACCAGGCTATCTGCGCCAGTCCTGCCTATCAAACCTGTCGGTGGTGATTGTCACACGGGCACCGCTGGTTTACAGTAAACAGTGACACACATACATTATTATGGATATACCAATTACTAACCACACATTCTCTCCAAGCACGATGTACATAAAAGTATCACTTTCTATTTGACGACCTTATTTTTTTTACCTGTTTAGAATTTAAAAAGTCTCCCATGCCACAACTTTTGGTCGCCGAGAGACAACTATGCCCTATTCACAATTTTGTCCGATGCAGCCATCTCCCTGTTCAGACTTCCAGCCATATGATTTCCTGTTAAATATTGGTATGAAGGTTTAGTCATATTGAACAGGGTCTGAAAGTTAATATAAATCATTACAAAGAATGCTAATTTCTATCTTTTGCTGTTGGGCATACCGGCTACCTCTTAGTTTCGGGGACCTGGAAATAAGCTTAATACCTCATAGTGTAGAATGCGATGTCATTAAGAATTTTCCCCTTCTTTTTTCATACATTTTGCATCCAAATAAAAAAAATCTAAAGTTTGACATTCGATCGAAAATTCGGCACAGCCCCAAAAGAGACTACATATCTCTTAAAACAATTAGTCACGTGTGCTCCAGGGTGCACGGTTTACAACATTGGTTTAAAGAAAATTCGAAAGCCATCTCCGGGAGTATGAAAAGTTAGTGGAGATAACTAATTATGGGACAAGACAGCTATCAACATCACTGATTTTGTAACCACATACAACCAAATAAAAAGAAAGAAAGAACACTTCATCAGAGTGGTCCAGCAGACTAGCCCCCAGAGGCAGGGTTGGGCAGGGGAAATCTTAACTTCGCCCCTCTTCAATACCTGTCTCTTCCTGGCATGCACCATGAGACCCAAGAAGGGACAGGGTGAGTTGTTTTTACATCGCTACACCTATTTCGTTCCTACGCCGTTACCTTTCGTACGCATGAATTACTCCAGTCATTCGTAAAAACGAATTACACATCAAATGTACATTCACTTCATACCATTCACAAGAATGGGTCATTCCTTTTTGTCTCATGTAATAGGGGGGACTTTAAATGCACAACGGACAAGCTTGTTTAATTAAAGAAACTTCTCCAGGAAGCGTCTACTGAAGAAAAAAAAGGAAAACATAAAAGTCTACAAAATGCACACCTCTGGATGCAGACTGATGTTTATGCCAAGTTTCAAGTTAAACAGTTGCACTTTCTTAAAAAGAGGGAATTTTTTATTAAGGAGAAAAAGACGGACGAAATGGAGGTTCGTGTTTTCCCGGTGATAATAACGCAGTGATCAGATCATATCATATCATAAAATGAAGGTCTTTAAAAGGTGTTGAAGACCAAGTTTTAAGTTTGTTTTTGGTATTTAAACTGTTAGCAGAAGCTGCATCAATGTTTCAGTTCGCTCTTTTTATGTTTCTATGTACAAGAAAGAGGAAGGTCGTTTTCACAGTGTTAAAGACGTGCAGAAAATGTAGGGCATTTCTTATTTTAAGTTTGTGTGTGTTTTTAAACTTGTAGCAGATGCTGCATTATTGTCTTACAGGGTGCTGTTTTGGATTTTGTTTTATGTTGTATTTGTAAAACCGCAAGATGTGTCATTTACTTTTCTTTGTTTCAACATACAGTCATACATCATGTGTGAATAAAAACAGGAGGGAGAAACATTTCTTTTTTTCTCGAGGCCCTTATTTAATCAACAGTTGGATGAATATGTACTCATTTGATGGTTAGATAGAGCACAGTAATAGCTTTTGAAAGGGATTCGTACCCAACAAATTGTAAAAGTGAACGAGATCAACCAACAAGTGATCGTACACTGGAGACATTTGCTCAACTATTGTATGACTAGATCCCAATTAATGAGGACTCGTTTCAAATTGCGCCCAACTTATGAGGAAACTAGTAGCCAACAGTTGTGCAACTCATATTACCAAATGCAGGGGAAACATCTAATTACCAAATCTTGGGCATAATATCTCAACCAAGGGTTGGGCAGTTTTAAAGAACCAATTATTGAGTGGGTAGTTTGTTTTAAATATTTAGGAAAGACATTGCCCAACGATTGTTGGGCAAAACTTTCCCAATAGATGTACATGTTGACTATTGAACCAACGTTGGTAATAAGTTGGGCATTTATTTGCCCAATTTTCTAACATTGTACGCTTGTGGTCCTGTTGTTCCTTTAGAGCTTCTTTTTCCGCAATTTTGATGCTCTTCAAGTCATCCGAAGATATGTCCAAGTTTTCGTTCCATTTCTTATTTAGATGAGATATGGTTGCCCGACCCGCCTTGCTACCATCAGCAATACGAATCTTGCTCTTGCGATCCGCGACGAGCCCTTGGGCCTCATCCAAAGCTTGAAGGGCCGAATCCGGATCTAATCTGTCCGTCAGGGCGAACTTGGCTTTTTCCAAAAGGATCTCCACATTGCCACAAAATTCAAACTGTGCGACGTTGCCTAGTCTTCTTCTTCTAACTTATTTTTAAGTTCTTTGATTGAAGAGGAATAATTCGCGGAAATTGGCAAGGCATTAAACCGACGATCAAAATAATCTTTGAACTCGGTCGACACATCTCAGAACGGATCAGTCAGCAACACATGAAGTGAAAGAGAAACAGCGATGGATATTCGGCGAGTGTATGAGCCTGAAGTGAAGACGTGCTGCTGTTGTTGTTTTCATGGCGTTTTCAGCAACTCAGGCTATTTG